AAGCTGGCACGGGACCAGGCAGTGTTTTGTTCTGCTGTGCATATGGTCACTATGAGTCAGAGACAACTCGATGGCACCTAACAACAAATAGCACTGTAGTCAGTCCTAGTCAGACTGGTCGGCAGTGGAAGATGGGTACCATCTAGTTCTTCTGGTCTCAGATTAGAGGGGGCTGGCTCTTGTCCTTTTCACCAGGGGGATTAAGGTTTTAAAAAATTGCAAGGACCACCAACAAGATAGGTGTTGGACTTTGATCTCTTATTTTTTGGGGGGAGGGGGGCACATACTAGATTGTGAATCTGAGGATTCCTTGAACTAAATAAATTGTTACCTTCCTTTCCCCCTCCCCCTCAGGAATCTAAAGCCCACAGGATGGAGACTAAAGATTTAGTTTAAACAAAGACATAAACATGGAATCAGAAATATACTGTATTTATTTATCATCGTATTTATTCAATAAACTCTTATGGGCTGTGTCTGACCAGTGAAGTGACTTGAGAAGCAGATATCAGGAATGAATCTATTCTTAATCAATTACTAACAAACTTACCTTACTGATCCTAGGAGGTACCCAGATGACTGAATCACTGAGGAGCCTTAGGTTATGCAACTACCCTACATATTTTAACTTCCACTGTATAAAAGTACCTCATGAGAACCCTTCTCCAGCCTAATTCTCTCAAAATTACATTAGTGTAAGGATTGCTCAAGGTCCTTGGAAACTCTGACGATAAGATAATCTGAAACAAGATGCTTTCATTTCATGCAAAAGTCACACAGACAGAGAAGTGACCAGTAATATTTGACTTTCATCATGGAATAATGTCACTTCTTCAGGAAGGAGTCCCTCCCTCAGTCTCCCAGTAAACATAGGGCCCCTCAGTTACCAACTCTCCCTGCACACTTTATTTTTCCTTTGTAGCACACACCTCCAATTGCAATTGAGTCGATTCTGACTCAGCAGACCCTACAGGGCAGAACAGAAATGCTCCACAGGTTTTCAAAGGCTGTAATCTTTACAGAAGCAGACTGCCACAACTTTCTCCTGTGCCGCAGCAGTGGGTTCAAATTGCCAACCTTCTGGTCAGCAACCGAGTGCTTAACCACTTTGGCACCAGGGCTCCTTGCACATACCACAACCATCAGGAAATGATCTCTACGTCGCTCTTTGTTAAATGTTTTGTCTCCCCTTCTAAACTGAAGACATGCTGAAGATGAGAGTCAGGTGGACCTTGATGTCCTATTTCTTGCATCTAGAAGTGCTAAGAGAACATAGGTATCTAGTAATATTTACTCAATGAATGTTTGAGAACAAAAACGCAGCCAGTGGCATCCCTTCAATGTACTCAAATAATTAAAGCTTAGACATCAAGTAGGGGACAGGGGACACCAGGTCATCAGGAGCCTACCGTTCAGGACACCACTCTGATCTCCACATGAAACTGAGAAAACCATTTCCTGGCAGGAACAGTGACAAGACAATGAACTCTATCGTAGTACATCTGTGTCCCACCTTACAGCTGTTGAACGCCTTTATCCCGTGTGTGGTCTCATGACTAAAAGTCTCCAGGGTGGTCCCAAAGTGGGACACTTTGAGGCTCTCTGAGAATTTTTTTAAGTTGTGACAGGTATATAATCCATTTATCTGGAAAGTTTTCACAAATGACTTTTAGACTCTCTGGGAATTTCTGTTTTTCAGTGCTCACTGCATAATACTCCTGCCATAAACTAGCTGCAACAAAGTCCCAGTTTGCCAGAGATTTTTTTTACATTTCAGAGCACTGAAATAAAGCCGATTCTAAGTAAAACATCCAGGCAGCGCAGAACGTCGTGGCTCTATTTTCTTAAAGGACAGAGAAATGAAATCCGAGCGTTGTTGCTGATACCAAAGGGATCTGTCAGGGCTTTGCTGGTAAATCCATCTATGCCTCTAAGTCCCAAAGTAAACTTCTAAACCTTTCAGAGGTGTACAACTTCAGAATTCTGCGAAGATAGGCGTGGAAGAGAGAGATTTAGTTCAAAATAAATAAATAAACACGACAGCTCTTTATGATTTTTTTTAAAAAGTTTGTTTTCTTGTCAACTTTCTCTATGTGCAAATTCATAAAAAGGAAGACCACCGATATTTTGAAATTAACTTCAGAGGAGTGGATTAGAACCTGAGCAGACCTGGTAGTAAGAGAAGGACTGCAGCTCTGAAAGCCCACGACTGGGCAGGAGGTTACATGGGGCTGGGGCGGGTTTGCACTGTGTGCCTTCTTTCTTCGTCCTCTTCTTCTGAGAAGCCAGGAATACCTCACGTTGTAACTTAATTAGCTTCTACCTAAGTCCTGAAATGGTTCTTAAAACCCAGAGCAGCACAGGTCAAAGATAACGAAAAGTACAACTGAACAAAGTATTAGTTTTTAAGGTCTTACTACATGCCTCCAAGGAATACATTTGAAAATCTGGGCAAAGGCAATAATATCTGGAGTCGCTATCAAATTCTATGAATTTCATAGATAAGAACATCAATACACAGTATCTAATCTGAGTCCCATGTGATCTTGTGAAACAGGCAGGCCATGAATTTTACAGATGACGAAAACTTCCATGAGGTTAAGTTCTTAACCAAGGATCATAATTTAGAAAGTGGAAGAGCCACAAATGGAAGGACTTCTAATCCTGAGACCAGCGCTATTTCTAGCAAAAACTATACTACCCTGGCCCCTCCCAAGCTACTGATCATTATCTTCCCCATCACCAAAACAAGCTACAAGACAGCAACGCCCATAACTTCATGCGTTTTGTAAATGGGGTAAAACACTTCTCTCATAATAAAGGTCATATCCCCACTCTACCCTTATGTGGTTTCATGTCTCAGAAATCTTATAAACCCACATGATTTATTCCTCTCGGTATTTTATCAAGCTTGCACATAAAGCATAACTTTGCATCAGAAAAGGCAAACAAAAACACTGTTTCTACTCTTATGAAGGACCAGGGACTCTCCCACCTAAGTATTAGAATCATAAAATCTAATTACTCCCTCGTCTAATGGTCTAATGTGACGTGAGGGCTGAAAAGTGGGATAAACACAAAGCACTGATATTCCCACATATAGTAGGATGAAGGGAAAGGGATGACACGGGGATTATCAAATGGTGAGGGACAGGGCACTCTCTGTGTTTGACTTTTTTCTTTTACAAGTGACTCAGCTTCTTGAAGTAGAAAGAGTTTAATTCTTAATGTAAAAATAAATACCTTAAATGTTTATGAATCCAAAATTTAAAAGAGAAATCAACAATAAGTTTTTTCACTCCAAAACTTGATTTTCTTATCTATAATACACACTATGTTGTTGTACTTGCACAATATGAAAGTTAGAAGACTTATCAAATAAGCTCCATAGAATGGAAGGGTCAAAGCAAGACCAAGCCATCTAATAAGCCTAACTCTGATCTTCAGTAGCAAACATCAGACACCCTCTATAAAGCCAGCCTTGTTCTTTGAAGTCAGTGGTTTTCAACCCTGGATATACATTAGAGTATGTTTTGGGCAATCTGCTTCTGTAGTGATACTGCCTCAGAAACCCAAGGAAGGGTCACTGTGAGTCGGATCCCACTCCATGGCAGTGAGTTTGGTTTTGGTTTGGTGTCCCAACCCTACCCCAGACCAATGAAATGAGAATCGCTGAGGGCAGGGACTGGCTGATTCTAGGGTTCAGCTGGGCTTGAGAACCTCTGCTGTTAGAGCTTTGTTACCCAGTTTCTTATCCCCCAACATCATGCCGTTTTCATATTTTCCCATGGAAGAAATACAGTGCCAAGACTAACAGTCTTGATGGCTAGAATCAGAAATTCACAAGTTAAATGAGTTAAATATTATGTCTGCTGAGACACTCTTCTTCAAATTAGTCACAAACAGTGACTTAATAAGTGTCGAGTTCTTTCCACTCATGGTGACCCCTTGGGCGTAAAGCAGAATGGCTCTGGAGGGTTTCCAAAACTGTGCCCTTTCAGAAAAAGATCACCAGGGCTGTCTTCCAAAGCACCTCTGGGCGGGTTCAAACTGCCCACCTCTCAGCCAGTAGCTGAGTGTTTCACTGTTTGTGCCACCCAGGGACTCCTGTACTTAATAAACATTAACCCTAAAAGCAGAAGACTTCATATAATTATGTAATACACATGTAATAAGCTCCCTGTAATAAGCTTAAGTATTCATAATTAAATATTTATATTCCAGTGAATAATAGCCAATTTCGGAAAATCCTTGATTTCTGGCTTTTTCCCACAGCTACATGTATGAACAAAGAAAGAAAGAAACCAGAAGTGCAAGGGCACTCCATGACACAGGTAAACCAAAATCAGTTCAGCAGGGAGTTTCCACTGCTCCAAGGACAAAGGACTTCTCAGAAACATGACTGCAACCCTATTGCTCACTTCTTGCGCAACACAGTACTGAAAGGGATGCTGCTATGTTCCCACCTCAACTGCTTATGCTGTTGGACTCAACAAAGATAAGTTTGGCTCCTGGAAAAACCAAAATGCCAATTTTCTTTATTTTTCAACTTGCTCCAAAACTCTTTCATACTATCTGATTGTGGGAATTTTGCAATAGCTCTAGAGTAGTTAAAACTGGAGAATGAGTAACTGAACCTGGTCTAAACTGTGTACGTAAGCAGACTTCACAATAAAAACAAGTCCAATACAATGTTTAGCATTGTATAAACAATTTACCCAAGTTCAAAGGAGGTTTAGACTAAAAATTTCAAGACAAGAAATGCAAGAAAAGCTAAAATTGATTTAATATCCTAATTAACCTAGCTGGGAAAATATTTAAGATTCCTATTCTATGAGACTTCCTGGTTAAGAGGAAATTCACAGCTGCTACAGTAAGGATAAGGAAATATTAATGGCTGGAGAAGAATTTTGATTTTGCGTTCATATTTCTCGGTCAGTGAGTTGTAACCAAATATAACCAAGTGAGTGGGTAGGAACAAACATAAACCTTCAACTTACATGATTTATTGCAGACTGAACAGCCTTTATGTAATGGTTTAGCTCCCGATCCATTACAGCAAATTCAACCATCGCCTTGTCCATACTGTATTCGCTACTCACTTCAGCTGAAAAAAAAAGATAGAAACTACTATTTTCAACTCAAAATACCATATCTGAAAAAGCCGACACCAGTATCATGCACCCAGAGTGTTCAGAAGTTCATAGTGGCACCTAACAAAGGCAACGCCTTTCCTCCTTTGCTGTTTCTGACACATGCTTGACAAATCACATTTTAAAAAAGAAGTTACTACTGCAATAGAGAAACAAGGATTTAAAAAAAAAATTACAAAACAATCACAGAAATGATCTGAAAATATCCTGTGGTTGGTTGCTATCTGATATGGACATTCTCATGGGCTCTCCTCAAGATGTCACTGTGGAAGTCTCCTCTATTTCTTGTCTGCAGCTTCTGGTCTCTCTCACACCTTTCTGGAGCAGATCAAGATAGGCAGACTTTACCCTGAAGTTGACCAGATTTGGCATCACTTCCAGACATGGTATAATTCTCAGTTCTTTTTAGGACCAGCTACCTCATCCCCTCTTGTGTTTGTCCTTTGTTGCCTACACTATTATTCACCACTTATGTTCTTAAGCAGACCTGTCTCAAAATTCTTGAGCACAGAACCTCAATTGAGGCTGCCTGTAAAAACAGTTGACCTCCAAAGACTTTTCCATTAGGCCCAAGACTGACCCAGCCACCATTCACTGTCACCTTCGCAGTGATCTCTTTGGTCTTGTTTTTCAAACTGCTATCTGGTTGAGGTCTCACGTGTACCCAAGGGACCTTGGCAATGAAAGCCATTCATTCTATTTTATAAGAAGGAAGATGGGGCAATCTTCTTCCATAGTGATGCTGCCTCAGAAACTCAAGGAGGAGTCACTATGAGTCGGGTCTGACTCAAAGGCACATAACAACAACAACAACGACAGTGGTATTAAGTTGCCATTGAGTCAGTCCCCAACTCATGGTAACCTCAGGCCCAATGGGATCAGACCAGTGTGATGAACACAGTGTGTTCACCTGCTGATTTCTCTGAAGTACACTGCTAGGTCTTTCTTCCTAGTCGGTCTTAGTCTGGCACCATTGCTGCAACTTATAAGAGAAGAGTCCTAGAAGGCTTCAGGTTGCAAGAAGATTTCTGAGTAGAGCTCAAAGTCAAAACCACTTTTCTTATCCTAACCCTGACTACCCTCCCTTTGCCAAACAGGGTCAGGGGAGGCTAGGAATAGTCCCATCTCTTCAGTGTGCCACCATTCTACAAGCAGGTATTGATGACAGTCAATCCCCACTCGTGTTAATCAAGCATCTTAGGTTATATTTGAATATTCACTTAAAGCCAATAATGCATGGGGAAATCTCATGAAGCAACATCAAGTCATTTGGCAAGACCTGCATAAAAAACCTGGCCCACAATTAAGCAACTGTTCTAAGAATTTAGTACAATAACTACCTGAAATATGTCCCCTTACCCTTGCCCCATCAAATCAAGCCAGAGGGCCAGATAAACCCTGATTTATGTTATAATATTATAATTGCTCCCACAAGTAGGCCCATGCCAAGGCTGTCCTCCTACAAACCTTCAGGTCTGTACCTAGTGGCTCTGGTCAGAACTATCCCAAACACTATGTCAAATACTATGGACTGATAACTGTATGACAGTACTGAACAGTATTCAAACTGTTATTTAGACCAGCAAAGACCACAGCATTAAAACCATTCTTTTTATTTTTTTTTTTCAAATTGCCTTCCCTCTCTTCCCTTCCAATCCCCTCCCCAGTAACCAACAAAGAAAGTTTTCTTCCATGTATAAACTTTTCCATGACTTTTTACAGTAGTGGACTAATACAATATTTGCACTTCTATAATTGACTTTGTCTACTCGAGCTGCTCTCTGAAATCTTCTGTTCAGCTCTTTT